CAATATAAATAAGAATGCTAATAATAAAAATAATGATGATAATAGTAATGATACTAATGATAATGATAACAATAATGATAATAGTAATAATGATAATGATAAATAATAATAATAATAATGCTAATAATAATAATAATAATAATAATAATAAAAATGATAATTATTATTGTGATAATAACAATGATAAAAATAATGAAAATAATAATGAAAATGAAAGTAATAATAGTGATAATGATAATAATAGTAGTAATAATAATAGCTAATCAATGTGATAATAGCAATAATGATAATATTACACAGAAAATAAAGATGATTATAACAGTGATGATAATGAGAACGGTATTGATAGTGGTGGTATTGATGTGCTATTGAAAACCAAAACGATGGTAATGATACTAAAACAATGATAGCAAAAAAAAAAAAAAAAAAAAAAAAAAAAAAAAAAAAAATAGAGGACAGGGCATCTTCAAGAAACAGACAGGCATACAGAACTCAAACTCTTCTTCCTCATGACTTGCTGATAGTCAAACGCTCTTTTCATGAACCGACAATCAGACTCTCTCCTCATGAACTCACCTAAACTCCATGATGGAGGCAGTGTCATGCACGATTTTTTCTCTGGTATATCACTGATCACGCCTTGTATGCCATGAACACTGTCAGGCGAAGTCTCTTTGTTTCCATACCGACGATGGGTTTTGCATAGGAAATTCTTAAGGTCGTTTTTCTACTTCTTTCCTACTTCGCTGTTTAGTCTAGAACCTCATTATTTTGTATTTGTATTGGAACTATTTGTTTTTTTTCCCTAATGTTTTATGGTTATTTAGATAGTCAGGTATCTTTTTTTCTGTAGAATCTTTTAGTATAGCGATTCCTGAAATGGAGCCAAGGGGAGTGGCCACAACATTGCCAGCTCTCATCAGGAGGGAAGTAAGGGTATGACTTTATACCCTTTTTTCAATACCCGCGTGGACTGGATGCAGGGTAGAGCTGGCATATGGTCATTGCGACATTGGGTAATAAGGCTACTGACCTAGACTTTACCGAAGATGTTGCTGTTTATTCAGTGTCTCTAGAAACCCTAGTAGTGTCTCTCGATGTAATTCACAGGGTGGTGAAACCCCTGGGTATAGTGGCATCGGTGGTGAGTAACTTGCCTTAAGGGACCTGATGTCACTAAGTCTAATTGCATCGCTGCTGAACCGAAACTCCAACTTAGATCAAGGGTACAGTTAGGAGGACCCCGTGTCTAACTCGCACAATCCAAAATCCTAACTCCAAGGACACTTGTTTTGACTCCCTGTGGATGCTCCCGCCCATCAGGTTGACTTTGCCAGGGACCCGCGAGAAATGCGTGAAAGGAAGCGTTAGTCCCGCAGTTTGAATGATCGGTTGATTGTGATATTGTGTTTTTTATCGTTTATTTGTTAGTCTTTTGTGGTATCGGTTACAACATTCGGAAGTTTGTTCATCATTACTAAAGAGAAATAAATGTATAGAAAAGGATGAAATACACAAATGAAAATGAAATATAAAAACAATCATATGTCATGTTCAAGTGGAGAGAGTTAAGAATCTGTCAAGCAAATTATAATCGTATTCATTAGTTTACTTACATTCAGCTATTAGTATTTCGCACGCCACATCTTTGTTTATCAGTGTTTCATGTATTACCCTGTATGTCGTTTAGGAAGTGAATATTAATTGGAAAATATTGATAGGGCCAGCTAACAATAGTGTTAAAGATAAGAATAATATCAGTAATGATAATAAATATATTGAAATATATAGAAATCTAATGGTGATATAAAATGAGAGCTATGACGAAGACAGCAATACCAAAATCTGCTGGTAATGAATATGATAATAATTATGATAGTGACTGTTATGCCAAAACCTGCCATCTGTGCAACAGAACCCGGTTATAAAGCGCTGAATCACATCTTCCCTCGATATTATAGCAAGCCAAAAGCAGAATATAACAAACACAATGGCAGAAATAATGATGATTATAACAACAGTGACGGTGGTAAAGATAATGATGATGATAAGAGTAACACTGATACAACTACTACTACTATCAACAAGAAGAAACAACAAAAATAACAAACTCACACCTTTAGAAAACAAAACACCACAACGTACAATTATCTTCGAAAACAACATCACAACGTACGCATAGCATCACGAGGCACAGTCTTACAGTACTAACGCAATGCTATGCGGTAACATCAGAGAGGATCAGGCGGTACTCAACAGAAGCCCTGTATAATCCTGAGTACATTACATAGCTCGGTTTCTCTCACGACCCTACGCAAGATCTGATAATAACTTAAAGGGCCCTGGTGCTTCTTCACTCACACGGTATATGCAGTATATTTTGATACCCAAAACTACGATATTGGTGTATTGTGAATGGGGTGTGTGGAGGTAGTAATGATGATAATGATAATGTTAATGATGATGGTAATAATAGTAATGATAATAATATAATAATGGT